AAGCCAACTAATCCGGGGTGGAATTGTGTTTCTTTTTGCTAGGGTTATACAGTCTCTGAGCCACAGCTGCCGATAAAAAGTGGCATACACTCACAGGGTCACATTTTGGTATTACAACCTGGGGCAATCATTAAAAGTGTTAGATTGCATCATGAAGGCTGGTCCTAATTTGACCTGATAGTGGACAGCTATGTAAAGTGAATTGTGACAGTAACTGTTACAGCAGCTGGGCACAAAGAGATTATTGATCTTCTCACACAAGAATCATGAAAATTCTTTAGTGCTTTCCTCAAAGCCCACGAATCATTTGCATCTGTATGGCAGACATAACATTGCCTGTGAACTCCTTGACCTGCAGATTGGAGTATTCACTGAGAATCACACTTCATTCTGAGATGTTTAACCCCCTAGTTCCATTAGATGAGAAGTGTCATTCTCTAAGAAACCCCACCCCCACCCTTTCCCAATATACATACTTTCTAAAGCAGCCTTATATGTGTTATGGAGTCAGATAATCAGCATTTCAACATGACATGAAATAACAGCTGGTCAGCTGTCTACACCAGTCACCTTGGTTTTAGATGAGATTACGTTACCACATGGATTTGTTTATTGTGAACATAAGATACAGAAATGGTAGAAATCTGTAACACCCGTGTTTATTACCTATTTGTCTTTATTTTAACAATTTGTGCTTCCCTTTGGACAAACCGTAAATTTTGTGGGCTGGAGGAATGAGGAGATGTGAGGAAAACAAATGAACGAAGTAAGAGGTTTTATTAAATTTATCCTCAGAAATAAAAGGGCAAGGACTGTAAGGAATGCATAAGACTTTGAACAATTTCTGACTTTGTTAGTTATCTGTTACTCTCTCATTTGTTTTTCTTACAGTGATTATCAGTAGAAACCTTTAAAAGTTAGACATCTTATGTCTTCATTTTAGGTAAGATAAGCAAGAAGCTGTTTTAGGGAAATAAAAGGAACTCCCAAAATGGAGTAGGTCGTAGTTTTTAAAAGCAAGCTGAATGCCTAGAAGCCCAGCAAGGAATGGGTCCCAGGCTAAGAAGTGCCCCTGGATTTAGGCCTGTCAGGAATTCTATTGATAAAATTCCTGTCTTGCATAGAAGAATGAACTAGATAACCTCAAAACTTTCTTCCAAATCTGATATTTTTCAGTTTCATCATATCTAGAAAAAATGGTAGAAATTGCTTCCATAAGAGATTTAAAGATAACTGTAGTTTGGGTGAGGATTACAATATGGTAATTGCCAATATTTTTACATTTATGTCATAATTGAAATTTCAGCAATAAGAATTCTTGGAATTAAAGTGGTGGTTTTCTTTTTTAATATTTAATCATTTTAATGGGGCTAGTTTACTTAAAATGGCATGTGACCTGGGTCATGTATACATGACACAAAAAAGACCCTTTAAATACCTGTTGGTTTATTTGGTGCTGTCTTATGGAAGGAATGAAACAAAACAGTAAAAGTAGCTAGGAAGCACTGGTGTTGTAGGATTTTGCTGTCTCTATCATCCTTGCTCTTGAACTACAGATCTTTGGAGACTGTATTGGGTATTGGATGATATAAAATATGGGTTTGTGTTCAGCGAGTCAGCTTACTGAGTGAGATGTCCCCCCTCCATATGAGATCTTTCTCTATAAAAAAAATGAGGCCTGAAATGTACTGAATTGTCATGATTTTCACATATCTGGATCATATATGAGGTGGATACACAGGAAGTACTTGAAATCTCAGTCTTATTTGGTGCCAGAAATCTGTACATTAGTGTGATTAATAAAATGCCTATATCCCTAAGGTTACCATATGGGTCTAAAGAAAGGGCAAGCATAATTATAATAAGATGTCTATGACTGAACACCTTTAACTCATTAGATTTTTTTCCCCTGGATTCCTTCAACTTTTAGAAAAAGGTACAAACAGGAATGAAAAGGTTCAATGAAGAAAGCAGGGTATATCCTTGGATCAGGGCAGATTCAGAACAGTCTCCTCACATTGCACATCAGTAACTAGAAATTAAAAATGGAAATTCAATATTATAATAGTAGTAGTTAATACTTATTGAACATCTACTGTGTGCCAGATGTTATGTTGAATGTTCTACATATATAATCTCATTTAATATTTTTAGCAGTCTTGTGAGTTAGGTACTCTTATTAATATCCTTTTGCAAATTGTGGTTCCGAAATTCCAGAAAATCCTCAGCCATCTACTTAATAAGTCAGGGAAATGGACTAATATATTATTCTGTACATTTATCAAATGCAAAACAAAAATAAGAAGTTTTTCTCATTAACCATCATTAATCAGAACCTCCTAATCCCTGAACATTCCTTTTCATCAGCATTTTACCATTCTGCAGTATAGTACTGAAATGACGGAGATGCATTTAGAATCTAATTATTTTAAGTAATGTTTATATAATCAGCATCAGAACTTTTAAGTTGTAGCATTAATTCTTGATTATCAGCTGTCAGGTCTTTGATTACATGGGTTAAAAGAATGAGTCATCTACCCCCATCCAATTAAGGATTAATTCATTTGGGTGCTCAAGGTATGGTGCTAGGCACCAAGAATACAATTATGGGAGGGAGGGAGAGAGGGAAGTTTCCTTTTTAGAAGAGCTTTCAAGTTTATAGGGGAAAAGTTTGTTTTAATTCACTTCGAATAATGTAATTCTCATAAATATGTATTTGTTTATCTTTGCCACAGCCTTAGTTGTGTTATCACTCTCTGTTATACATTATGAAACCAAGACTAAGAGAGACTACATGACTTGCCAAAAGCTATCACTTAGTAAAGGATAACCAGGATTTGAATCTCTGTCTGTCGGGATCTTTCCACTATGCCATTCTATCTTCCATGGAACTTGTTTTGATCAGTATATTGTAGAAATTCCAAGAAAAGTTTTGGACTAGTATATTAATCATATTTGACTTTGAGACTAATTAGGTACAAGAAGAATCTTCATTTGTAAATGGAATAAATATCCAGTCTTCTTTTTAAATAGTCTTGGTCATGATCTCAATTTTTTTTTAGTACATAGCAATTGATGTTTGTTTCTTTAGTTCTAGTCATTGTAGAGATTTAATAGAACATGTATATGATGCAGTGAACAGTTCACTGAAGATCCAGAAGCAAGTTTTATTCTTTCACTTAGTTACTCACATGATGTAAGGAAGAATGTTTGACAAGTCCCAGAAGACATTTAATGGAGGTGATCCAAGTGGAGTCTGATCGCTGAAAAACAGTACTTGTTATGTGGGCTGAAAACATTAACAAGAGGATACTCTTTATTATAAATAATAATTTATGTCTTTTCCTTTTTTTTTTTTTTTTTGAGATGGAGTTTCGCTCTTGTTGCGAGGCTGGAGCACAATGGCGCGATCTCAGCTCACCGCAACTTCCGCCTACTGGGTGCAAGCGATTCTCCTGCCTCAGCCTCCCAAGTAGCTGGGATTACAGGCATGCGCCACCATGCCCAGCTCATTTTGTATTTTTAGTAGAGACGGGGTTTCTCCATGTTGGTCAGGCTGGTCTCGAACTCCCGACCTCAGGTGATCTGCCTGCCTCGGCCTCCCAAAGTGCTGGGATTACAGACGTGAGCCACCATGCCAGCTCATTAGAATCTTAGCATTCATTTTCTTGAACTTGATTGACTTGTAGCTGACTGGATTTCAAGCTTTTTTTTTTTTTTTTTTTTTTTACAATTTACAACATTACCTCAAGAATTGTACAGCTATGGGCCGTAGAAAATTTGGGAGTTAAAGCATGAGCTATGGGCTGGGCATGGTGGTTCACGCTTGTAATCCCAGCACTTTGGGAGGCCGAGGTGGGTGGATCACCTGAGGTAAGGAGTTTGAGACCAGCCTGGCCAACATGGCAAAACCTCGTCTGTACTAAAAATACAAAAATTAGCCATGCATGGTGGCACATGCCTGTAATCCCAGCTACTAGGGGGGCTGAGGCAGGATGATCGCTTGAACCCGGTAGGCAGAGGTTGCAGTGAGCCAAGATCGGCACACCACTACACTCCAGCAAGAGACCATCTCCAAAAAAAAAAAAAACAGAGTTCGCTCTTTCAGGCCAACTTGATTTCCCCCTCTTTGATAGGATTAGAGAACCAGTGGAGAAAAGGCTTACAGGAGATGTCTTAACTTTGGGCTTTAAAAAAGCTTTTGATTTCACATTTCATGAAGTTTAATTGAAACACTTGAAATTCCAGGTGCTGCTGCCAGAGGAGTAAGAACTGTCTCTGCTTGCCCCTGATTGAACTGTGTAAGACTTGGAGAGTAGAAAATACCTTTCGCCATTTTATATGGTGCAGCAGTGACGAGTAAAGTGACCATGCTTCTAATATTATTTGAAGAGAACGAGATTAACGTTACCGAAATCTAGGTCATAACTCCCCATTGCTCCAGCTACTAAATAACCCCCTTGCAATTTCTATATATTTGTTTCCTTTTCTCATTTGCCATGGAGTTATGGTTTTCTGATTTTAGAGACCCCTGTATTACTGTCAGAAGTGACTTTGACACAGGATAGTCTGATGATTATATCTGCATCAGTTCAACATACCTTGTAATGAAAGAATGGTAAAATGTCAGGAGATAATCCAAGGAATGCAAAGCCAAGCTTTTTACAAGGAACAGTGGGTCCAACCATAGTCACATTTAATGAGGGTCCTATCTCCTTAAGGGAGAAAGTAGAAGACAGTTGCTAGCTTATGGCTAAAAATGTTAAGTTGCCACAGAAACAGGAGGGATCTTACAAATGACAGAGCCACAGTCTTATATTTTAATTCTGTACTTACCAAAAAGATCTGTAAAAATTACAGAAGGTCTTTAAGGAATTCACCTGTTTCTCCTACGCTCTTAAGATTTAAAAGGTTTTCCACTAGTGGCCCATATAATAAAATCTGGAGACGATCCCAGTCCTTAATGGAGTCTGGACTTTGGCTTTCTTTTTCTTCTTTAGGATTGAACCAGCTGCCCTTTGACCCTGCCAACAACAACGAGCCCCTGCAGTTTGGTAGTGCCAGTGGCCCTCTGGTCACAGAAGGCCTCATTGAGAATGGAGGGGAATCAAGCAAGAAAAGAAAGAGAACAAATACTCCTTCAGGTAAGCTAGGTGATAATGCACTGTCTTAAGCCAGTGCCAGAGTCAACATTTTCCCAGAGCCTAGTATGTGGCAGGTCACATACTATGCTAGGGTTTGTAGGAACTAAAGAAATGAGAAAGAGTCCCCTGTCCTCATGGAATTCATTATGGGATTGAAGGAGGGAAAAGCACATACACGAATAACTCTGATAATTAGATAGAGTATCATCAGTGCTGTGGCAAATGTGTAAAGGGCGAAAAACCGATGAGAGCATAAATGAGGAAGAGTTTAATTCTGCCTTAGGGATTATAGAATACTTCATTGCAGAAGTGCCATTTTTAGCTCATCCTTGAAGAATGGGTAGGCTTGAGACAAGAGATGAGTAAAGAGCATCGATTTAGGTAGAAAGAATTGCATGAGTGAATGGTTTCACTGTGCATTCGTCTTTGTATGTACATGTGGCAGGCCATCCTCACTTTTGCTTCTAATACAGATAACTGCATATATTTGCATCTGCCCACTTCTACCCCTGTTCCCCTCAATACCCACTATGCCTACATATGTTTTATGCCGTTATAATTCTCTTAGAACAGTTGGCAAACAGATTCTTCTAAACCCTCTATAACAGCCCAACTGAGCTTTTAGCCTCCCTTGCAATTTCTCCTACCCCAATCCCTCATGTCCCATTGGCCTATTCTCATCTTAATGTTTCTTTTCTTTTTTTTTTTCCCAAAAGGAGTGAGGAAACAATAGGGGAGCCAGATCTTAACTGATCATTTGATATTTTATAATTTTATCTCTTTGCATGGTTATTCATTTGGAAGTAGAATCTGTAGTATACAGAAACATCTGAGATTTGGGGATGGGCATAACAGACATGTTCATCATTTCTTCTTTGTTTTGTTTTTTATTATTACTTTTTACTTTCAGCTTATGAAATGGAGCATGTTTACAAACATATCATTTCTGACTCTTAGATCATAGATCGCTGCTTATAAATAAAGATATTTGTTAAATATGAGTTTGGAAAATAAAAATACAGTAAAACATTAGTTATATGTAGCCCTCAAGAAATAAGTGATTCTTAGAGAGCTCTATTTTCTGGAGCATGGAAAGGCATGGTGTATAGCCAAGGAACTTTCCTGAGTTCTGATCCTGGTTTTATCTCTTTCTGTGGCCTGGAGTTATTTGCTTAACCTCTCTGAGTTTCACTTTCTTCAACTGTAAAGTAAAAGTGATACTAAAGCCTATGTCTTAGGATTTGTTATGACAGTTAGTCGAAATGATGTAGGTAAAGTGCTTAGCATGGTGTCTGCAAACACTAATCACTTAATAAATATTGCTATTTTATTAGCATTATTATATGATATTATAAATTTCATGTTTTAAATCATCAATGTGTTTCACATTTTTAGGCTCAGCATTATGAGTATAAACCACATGTGTGTATGTGTATAAACTCATCTGTCTTTTAAAGACATGTATTCAATATAATTTAAACTTTGCTTGATCATTTAGGGGCATAATTCCAGTCATTAGTTATTGTACTGCACTCTAATACTTTTAAATTTTTAAGGATTTACTAAAGAATATAGGTTTTTTACCTCTACACTAAATTGTTCTACGCCACGGTGGTCTTTTAGTTATTATAGCCACGTTTTACACATGTCCTGTCTCCTTTCTGCAGCCTACAGTCACTTTTTATTCCTCTCAGTGTCCCTTCATGTAGCAGCCCTTTTTCTCCTTCTACTGAATTCAGAACAACAACAACAACAAAACCCAGCCAGCTCTCCAAGCTGATGTGCCAGATTAGTATAAGTAAAAGTTAAATCAGCTCTAAGTGGAACCTGCCACGGATAGAGTGCACAGGATTTAGAACATCAACTTTAAGACATGTCTTTTGGCTCTGAGACCTTTATGATCACCTACTAGTTTTTCCATTGTATTCATGTTAAGTGATGTGCGAGTTTAGGGTAATACCTCCTGAACTGCAGTTAACTCATGAGGGTGGGGAAAGGGAGTATGTATTAATCTGAATTGTGAATTAACTTTAAAGGATTGCAGTTTTATTTCTAATGAGGATATTCAGTGAGAGCAAAGTAACTTGCAGATATAGGATTTTAACAGTAGATTTTGCTAATCTATAATTAGCAGAACAATTTGCATTCAAATAATGAATATGCTGAAGTTCTTAAAAAACAGTATGTTCTTTAAAATAGGTGAAATAAGCCCCTGGCAGGCTAAATTAGCTCCCTTGAAATCTTGTTCACACTATTTGCTTAGAGAACCTTTTCTTTGTTAGTAGGACAAAGGTAACTCCAACCCAGGTTAAATTACCACAAATTCCAAATTAACCTAGTCCAAATGAATGAGATTTTAGTATACAAGGAGTCTTTTATAATTGTTCAGCAGCAATCTTGTGATATTGTAAATAGGCAGATAGCTTTATAATATTATTTTCTTCCTCTGCAGTACTAGACAAAAGGAAGAGGGAAGATATTTCATGAGTAGCAACTTCCCTCTTCCTTTGTCATCATTCCCTGCACTGTAGCAAAGAGGAAAGCTAGGGTTGGAAGTTCCCACAGGAGCTACCAACCATTTCATTTCCAAGCTACATGTCCAGTCATTGCATCACTCGGCCCTGTAGCTCCACTGAGTCAAAGCCATCTCTCTCCTTCTCCATCCCTGCAGATGAGGGAGGGATATTCGCTTGCAGATCCAGTTCCACACTACACATCCTTTTTTCCTTCCTTTCCCATCCCTCCTACCTTTCCCGTTTTCTACAAACTGCCTCTTTCCTTTTGTACTAAAACTGATTTCTTAAAGGTCACCTGTGACCTTCAGATTGTCAAAGTCAGTGGACTTTTGGCAGGTCGCAGCCACCTTGAACTCTTTGTTTCATTTGATGCTATTAACAGTGCCCCCTTCTTTGTATTTTCTCTACTTTTGCTTTTCTTGGTAATATACTTTGCAGATTCTTCTTCCTTTACTGTCACCTTCAAGCCTTCTTTCTCATTTTCTTCATCCCTTGACTGTGAGTATACTATTACCCACATTTCTAGATGAAGAAATAAAGGATAAACTTACCCAAAGTTGAATGTCTAGCAAGTGGTTTACCAGGCCTCTAACTCCAAAGTCTATTTCTAACTACTATGCTAAAGTTACTGTGTCTAAAGTTATTAGGAATCTAGAACCACTACTAAAATGTATGTTAAACATTGGTGCAGACTAGGGAAAGCTGTGTTTGTGTGAAAATAATTAGGTAAGAATAAGAAGAGCAGGCCTTGGATATGATAATCTTGAGGATCCCTTCAAACTCAGATCTCATGGTTCCTCTTTTCAGCTTTCTATTTTGTGCTACTCCCCAAAACAAGTCTTCTATTTCAGCCACACTGATCCACTACCTTTCTCTGAAGACTCTGTGCTTACCTACCTCACCACCGTGCTCATACCATTCATTTCCCTTTCCCAGCATGCTCCCCTTCTTCTTTCACTTGTCAAAGTCTTATCCAACTGTCAGTGCCTACCTAGTACAAGTCCTGCCCTCTGTAAGAAGCCTTCTGGATCATCTTAATTAGAAATGTTCTCTTGTACCTCTGAAATATATTGGTCATTAAACTCATATCAATCACTTGACACTGATTGTGGACCACCTTGAACTATTGTGTATGAGTTTGTGTGTGTGTGTCTATATATATATAGATATGTATGTGTGTGTGCATGTGTGTATGTATATATATATATAATGTTTTAGCTTTTCAACTCAGTTATAACTCCTCTGTTGGAAGGGCCCCAACTCTCTTAGCAGAGACATGGTGTCTTACACAAAATAGATGCTCAGGAAATATTTGTTGCTTGATCACATATTTGATTGAATAATTGCTTTCTCTATGCCTTTATATTCCCTATTATTTTCTTGTCATTTTCAAGGTAGAGCTTTGCACGAAACTGTGCCTTTGTATCTGAATTTGACCAACTGACAGCTTCACTTGTCCCTAAAGGCTACTCAGACATTTGTGAGATTACACACTTAGAGCAGGCACAAATCAAATCTGGGTGCTTGTGGGGGGGAAAAAAAAAAAAAAACAACCTGACCCTAATGGAATCCTTGCCTTATTACAGCTGAGATTTCTTAAGTGCCCAAGGGAAACTGATAGGTAGAGTTTAAGTGTCCTGCCTCAACTATGAAGTAGACCAGTAATCAGGATTAGACATTACTGCCATATTTGACCACATAATCTTTCTTTGTGGATCTGGTTACTTTGTAGCTTTTATGAAAGATGAGCTCAGAATTCTTCAGAGTGTGTTTCCTCTTAAATTTTACCTTTTCCCCATGGAAATGTTTCCTTGGTGATGCTATAGTTGTACAAATTGTCTAAGATGGCAGCAAATCCATTTATTCAGATGGTACTCTATAGCAAAAGAGTAGAAGATTGTTAAACCCGTGTAAAATCACAATGCCAAGTTCTTTTCCCAAAGTTGCCAACTGCCTCCTGGTTTGAGAGCCATCTGGATTTGTAGAAGCAGAAATACCAACTCTTTCATGAAATACTTCCACTAAAGTAGAAAAAACCATGAGTCAACAAGGCCAACTGGATGATAACTAAAATCAAATGCATTGTTTTAAGCAACATCATGGTACAATAATATTCAAAGAAGGTGTCAGCTTCTTTGAATAGTGGGAAACTCTGAAAGAGTGGGAAACTACCCAGGAATAATTATGATACCAAAGTGAGCATCCAGGTTTAGGCAGAGTCCTATTTCCATTGTCTTTTCTCTATAAGCCTGTGTTGAAAGATAGATTTGTGCTTAAATATGCCATGCCCAGTACTGCCAAAGTTCATGTGAATAATGAATGACAGTATGAAAAGAGGGATCTTCAGTCAGTTTTCATTTGCAATAATGATTTAATTACAAAATTCAAGATCTCCAGAAAGACGCTTCAAAATCAATAATAATTTGTATTTGTATGGTGATTATTTCTCTTAATGTATTCTCATAGTCATTGCATTTTACACAT